CTATGGTAAGATTTTTTGTTCTGATGATGCCTTACACCTGATCCCTTCGACACCTCGTGGTTGCATAGGCTGGTGTGCTTCTTCCATGTGTAGCCCCTGGTTTTTTAAAAGCCCAAATAAGTGACAGTATGAGTGCGGATTGGTTCTGTAGTTGACCTTGGGCAAATTAATCATCTTTTTAGGTTTTACTGGTCTCATCTTAGATAATAATTGTAATGACTTCATAGGTTGCTGAGGCTGTCCCTGCATGAATCCATGCAGAGAATTTATATAGTCTGGCATTTATTAGAAAGAATCCAATGGCGCTGTTGGGGGAGCATCGGGCATCTAACTGCATGGTCTGGGGTTCAAGGTCATCAGCCGCTGCAGCAGAAGAAAGATCAGGCTGTCTGTTGCTGTAAAGACTTACAAAGCCTCAGAAACCCCAACAAAGGGCACTGTGAGTTAAAATGGGAGAAAGATGAGGCTTTCAACTCCCATAAAGAGTTACAGCTCTACCCCATCCTATAGGATTGATGAGTCAGCATCGACTCCGTGGCGGCAGTGAGTTTGGTTTGGGGTTTTGGTTGACATTTAGTAAATCTTTAAGAAATAGTGGTTGTTCTTATTATCATCGGTTTCTGTTCTCTTAGAAAGTGAATGTACAGGATGCTGCGATGCTTTAAGAGCGCACTTCCACTCTGCCACACATGGAGTCCCATGAGTGGGAATCACCCCCAAGGCAACTTTTTTTTTCCCCTCCTTTGGTAGTCCTGGGAAATGTCATTCACAGGAGGCAGGCTTATTGTAAAGAAGTACTCATTTTCAAGGGAAGAACCCTATAAACAGCCCAGAGAAACAAACACAGTAGCTCACAGTAAAAATGACAAAGGCAATCTGATTGGATATAAACTCTCAAGGGGAGGGGAGTATAAACTCTAGGAGCCCGGTAGATCAAGTGATGTGCTGTCCTGTGCTGTGAATCATTCTGCTCTGTAGATTGACTTAGTTGAAAGGCCCTCTGCTTTCAGCAGTTAATTATAAAAACCTGTAGGCTTACATTGATTGGTTGCAGGAGGTGCTTTACAATGAATACTTAAAGAAACCAAAAAGAGAGGAACAGGTAGGAAAGGTTCCCGAAACCATCCTATCCTGGGGGTGGGGAAGCAAATTTAGGAGACTGGATCAATCGCTGAAATAAATTACTCCTCCCTCCTTTCCTTTCATCTTTTAGGTTGGCTGGGACAGTAGGAAGACATCAAAAGAAGGGAATTGTTTTCCTTGCAGTTGAACCGGAGGACTTTGCACCGTGCACCAGTTCCTGGAAACACTGCTAGCATGCCCAGAACTGGGAGAGAGCCTGTTGGAAATTGTCCAATTCCTCTGCTTCTCTTTTCATGGGTGGACTGGGCAGAGGTAAAAAGAAGGTCAAAGTCAAATCTGTTTATTCTGCTGCTTAGATTTAAAGGTTGGCTGACCACAGCCCAGAGGCTTTAAGTTTATAAATAAAATGACATTGTGGGAGGTGGACACCTTGGAATTCCTGTTGTCCTAGCCATTCCTCACTTGTCCCTCCTGTTCTCCCTTTCTCCAAAGGCTGTTATAAATCTTGTGTTGACGTGCCCCTGGCTTCCAACCCTTGGGCTGGGTATGTGGGGGTGGGAAGCCCTGGAATTGTCCCCCAAGGGATTCAATGATCTAGACACGGACATTAAATATTGACCAAATTTATCGAGTAAATATGATGCTCTCTCTTTGAATCAAACCCACTGCCACAGAGTTGATTCCTCTCTACTCTATCTGGACCTGGCTTCCAAGACTGTAACTCTTCAGGAAAGCAGACAGCCTCCTCTTTCTTCTGCAGACCAGCTGATAGGTTTGCACAACCACTTTATGGTTAGCAGTGCACCACTTAGCCTGCAGTACCGCCAGGCCATACAGACATAGACATTAACTTTCTGGATTTTCAACTTACAAAATGGATGCTGGCTGTAGGCTTTTCAAATCTTGCCGGAATAGATATTGAAGTAGAAAGGGCAAGTTTTGAGTAATTCTGTCTTTCAAAGAGGGAGGGCAATGTTACACATTTGGTTTCTTTCTATTTTAAAAACTCACGGAGAAACCAGTGAATTTAAAATCAAGTAAAATGAAAAGCTTTGCATTCATGGCAGTGTCTGTGATTGTTTCTCAATAAAGACACTAAAACACACAAAAACTAACACTTGGAGGTGCTGTGGGTTAGGCTGGAGCCTTGGCCTAGTGGGTGACAAGTAGGCTGCTGACCTTGCCCACCACCGGTTCTGCAGAAAGCCAAGGTAAAAAGTTAGTTTCGGGAAACCCACAGGGGCAGTTCTACCCTATCACGTAGGTTTACTAAGTCGGAATCGCGAGTTTGATTTTGGTTGCGCTGCTAACCACAATGTCTGCCGTTCAAATCCATCAGCCTGCTCAGGGGAGGAAAACTCGTGTACATTTTAAATCTCAGAACCCCCACATAGCGTTGCTAATCAGAATCGAATTAATCACAGTGGGTTTCGTTTAGTTTTTGTTGATACTGAAAAAGTCAAAGTATTGTCCTTGCCCGCAAGGAGGCGGTTCTAGGAGGCGGGTGCTCCGAGGAGGTGGCAGTGAGTGACAGCCACCCTGTCGCACACACCCTCTTGAGGTTTCAGTAAACAAGATTTTTTTCCCCTCCAGCTACAAGACCGAGCCGAGGAGGGCGGAGCCAGCGAGTCTGACGCGAAGATTCGCTAAGGTCTCTTATTAGTGCATCGTAACGCTTCGTGGGAGTCAGGAGTGCTGATTGGTCAACTCTTACGTCCGTCAGTGGGCGCACCAATTACGTCTCGCCGGGCCTCGCCTGGTGGCGCTGCGCTCTTCCCAGCGCTAGCGGGGCGCCCGTAGGCGGGGCCAGGGCGCATGCGCGTCGGCTCCCCCGCCGGGCGGCGCACGCTCGCAGTCGGCCGGCCGAGAGGCGGTGGAGGTCACCACCGGGAGGCGGGGCGGGGCAGCATGGCAGCCTCCTTTCGGCTCCGGGGAGCTGCCTCCAGTCTCCACTACTGGAGCCTCCGGCAGCGGCCTGCTGCGGCTGGCCTTGCAGCGGGTAAGGACCTCGAACCTTCTACCCTGGTCTTTCTCCGCCCGCCCGCCCGCCCGCCTCTCGCTCTCGGCCGGGGCAAGAGGTCTTCTCTCGGGTCGGTCGGGACCACGTTCTGGGCTGATCGCAAGGCCTGGCTTCTGCTGCGGGCGCCGCAAGGGACCCCTGTTGCCTCCAGATGAGTGGGGTTCAGCGTCCTCTCTAGGACTTGGCAGGGAGTAGGGAAGAGTCGAGGGGACAGGAGAGGTCCGATCGGACCCTGATGCTACGGAGTTCCGAGTACCTTTGGGGGCAGCCGACTCTTGGCCTTTGAGCCGGCCCTCCCCAGCCTTGAAAGCCCCCGACGGGCACGTTGGGTGGACTGGTCCTCGGGCTGCCTGCCAGGTCTGGTTTACGAGGGGGGGCCCTCAAAAGTTCGTGACAACGTGGAATTAAAAGATAGTGGCATTTCTGCACGAACGTTTTGAAGCCCTCCCGAATGTGTACCCCCTCAATTGGGTGTGATGGATGGCCTTACACAAGTGGTGTCTGCACTGGAGATAAAGCCCCTGCGACAAGTGGAGCCACCCTTGACCATCGGTAACCGTGCCACCTGAAGATGGCATTTCTGTCAAATTATTAACCTCAACCGCGCGTTCAGCCTCACATCCGTGTATTAGTGGCTTGAGTCCAACCTGCCTACTTCGCAAAGCATCGTCAGTTATGGAAAGACAAGGATGGTTTAGGATGACCCTAATTCTCATATCCAGGTTCTTAAAAACTTACCTTTCCCTCCAGAGCCCTGGTGTCGTACTGGGTTACCCATTAGACAGCTCACCACAAGGTTGTCAGTTCAAACCCACTAGCCTCACTGCTTTCTGCTCCTTTAAAAGATTCACAGCCCCAGAAACCCACAAAGGCAGGTCTCCCCTTTCACTGTGTGTCAGAATCGCTGGGGTGGCAGTGAGGTTGGTGTTTTGGTTTGGGTAGGGCCTTATAAGGATCCCTGGTAGCTCAATGGTCAGAGCACTTGGCTTTTTACTGAAAAGTTTGACCAGCCTCTGCTAGAGAAAGTCTGCTCTAAAGAAAGGCTTCCCTTGGAAGCCCTGTGGGACAATTCTCTGTCCTATAGTGTCACTGGGCGTATGGACAGATTGTACAGCCCTGGGTTTGGTTCTTGTTGGCAGGGTCTCAGTGCCCTGTGGGTCCCAATGAACTTGATGGTACACAACAAGTAAGGTCTGATTTCATGACTCCTTATTTACTTTTGGCTGCCTTGTGGGGACCCTGCCAGATGTCTTCCTGGGAAGGTTGGAGAGTTAAAAGAATGCAGAAGGGAAAACCGTCCAGTGCCTTCCTTACCATCTTTGCCATGTTTGAGCCCCGCGTTGCAGCCCTTTTTCAACCCATCCTGTTCGAGAGCTGCTTTTGCTGACCCTCTACCGAGCATGATGTCCTTCTTCAGCATGCTCACAGCACATGTGATGAAATCTTGCCATCTTCACCTCGGAGCAGCTTCCAGTCTGTACTTGTTCCAAGACAGATTTGTTCCTTCTTCTGGCAGCCCACAGTACATTATGCAATATATTCTTCGCCAATACCATAATTGAAATGCACTAATTCCTTTTCTGGCCTCCCTGTGAACTATGTAACTTTCGCATGGTTATGAGGTGACTGAAATCCCTTGGCTTGTGCCAGGCACACCGTAGTGCTCAAGGAGACAGCTTGAACAGCAGCAAGATCTAGTCCAGGATTAGACTTGGTTTTAGTTTTTTTCTGATGTTTCCTTAGAGGGTGGGGTGGGGTGGGGTGGGGGAGTAGAACAGCTCCCTGCCCCCTGTCAGTAAAACCTGTGCTGGAGATGTAAGAAAACAGACAGAGGTCTGTTGCAGAACCTTACTAGTAAGATACGAACGCCCGGAAATCTGCCAGACTTGCATGTAGACGTTCTCTGAGGCAGTCTTTTCTCTGCTTATTTCTGTTTATTTATTTTGAGGCATTCTTTGATGTAGTAGCGCTTTTCAAGTGAATGCATATTTCTTTTCATTTTAATTAGCTGAGGAAGACAAGTTTGCTGGTTAGTGGTTTCACAAAGTGTTCTGATCACACTTTAATGAACTACTAGTGTACCTTTATCAATTATGCGTGTGCTTACCATGCCTGGGCGAGTAACACTTCCATTGTTTTCAGTCAGTGGAAATGTTTGAAATGGTTTTCGTAATTTTACTTAATATTATTTATTACTTTTCTGACATTGAAGAATAAAAAAAGTATATGCAAATTTAGTCTAGGAACATTAAGAAAGTTAAACATGTGCCATTCTTGTTCAAATAGTAAAGTTATTTTAGTGTTGACAGCTTAATATGTTTATAATGTTTATCTTGTGAATAGTTATGACATAAGCATCCATATAATTTATTACTTAAAACGAGAGAACCGAAAGGTGTAGGTTGGTAAGTAGCACATCTAATTTTAAGATATTTAAAGCATCAAAAAGGAAATAGAAAATTGAGCAGTACACAAACTGTTTTGTACTTGTACTGCTATTTTATCAGCATTAATAAAAATAAGTTTTATATTTTATCTTAGAAGGTAATTAAGTTTTAGGCTTCTTTGCACAGAGAAAAATTTCAGCAGGAAAGGCCCCTGTAGGGAATTATGACTCAATCAACATGTACATGGGAAAATAATTTGTTACTAGATTATTTTGTATAACATAATTGTAAAAATTACCACCTGACTAAAGGTAGAATGGGAAAATTAACCAGCATCATATACTGAAATGGTAATTTAAAAACTTATATAATTGCCTCTTTTTTTTTCACTGTAGGAATTATTTTATTTTAATTAAATAATAATTTTATTGACATATATTTCTCATTCTATAATGGCCTTCTTCTTGTCTGTGTGAAACCTATTTCTAAAGCAACATAATTTATAGCATAAGTAAAATGTGTAATGATAAAAATGTGTATATGTATTTGTTTCATATTAGACTCTAGGGTTGCTCATGAACTCTGAAAAGCAGCGCATTAACTGACTCATAGTGACCCTGCAGGACAGGGTAGCACTGCCCCTGTGGATTTCCGAGATGTAACTTTTTACCAGAGCAGAAAGCCTCATTCTCCTGGCAAGAGCAGCTGCTGGTTTCAAACTGCTGACCTTGTGGTTAGCAGCCCGATGCAAAATCCACTATTCCACCAGGGCTCTGAAAAGCTGCACTAGGACTGAAATTTTCCTTGTGAAGTTACATAGTGGAAACATTTATTTCTAAAATAACTTGGACCCAAACCCTGAAGGCCTCGATAGAGTAAGTTATCATGCTTAATCATTTATTGGTAACATTAAAGTACATAGAATGCTCATCACATATTATATGTGATAAAGTAGGACACAATGCATTGTCCTACGTTCCTAATCAAATAAATCACAATATCCTTTTACTTTAAAAAAAAAATCATTTTATTGGGGGCTCGTACAGTTCTTATCACAACCCATATATACATCCATTGTGTCAAGCACATTTGTACATTTGTTGCCACCATCATTCTCAAAACATTTGCTTTCTACTTGAGCCCTTAATATCAGCTCCTCATTTTTCCACCTCCCTCCCCAGTCCCCCCTCCCTCATGAACCCTTCATAATTCATAAATTATTATTATTTTGTCATATCTTATACTATCCGACGTCTCCCTTTACCCACTTTTCTGTTGTCCATCCCCCAGGGAGGAGGTTATATATAGATTCTTGTAATCGGTTCCTCCTTTCTACCCCACCTTCCCTCTACCCTCCCAGTATTGCCACTCTCACCACTGGTCCTGAAGGGGTCATCTGGCCTGGATTCCCTGTGTTTCCAGTTGCTATCTGTACCAATATATATCCTCTGGTCTAGCCAGATTTGTAAGGTAGAATTGGGATCATGATAGTGGGGGGAGGAAGCATTTAAGAACTAGAGGAAAGTTATCTGTTTCATCATTGCTATCTTACACCCTGACTTGCTCATCTCCTCCCCACAACCCTTCAGTAAGGGGGTGTCCAGTTGCCTACAGATGGGCTTTGAATCTCCACTCTACACTCATCCTCATTTACAATGATGTGATATTTTGTTCTTTGATGCCTGATACCTGATCCCTTGTACAGCTTGTGGTCACACAGGCTGGTGTGCTTCTTCCATGTGGGCTTTGATGCTTCTGAGCTAGATGGCTGCTTGTTTATCTGTAAGCCTTTAAGACCCCAGACACTATATCTTTTGATAGCCGGGCACCATCAGCTTTCTTCACATTTGCTTATGCACACATTTGTCTTCTGCGATCGTGTCGGGAAGGTGTGCATAATGGAATGCCAATTTAATAGAACAATGTGTTCTTGCATTGAGTAAGTACTTGAATAGAGGTCCAATGTCCATCTGCTGCCTTAATACTAAACCTATAAATATATGCACGTAGATCTATTTCACCACCATCCTATATAAATATATTTATATATGTACATGCCTATATTTAGACCTCTATAAATACCCTTTGTCTCCTAGTTCTTTTATGTTTGTTTTATTTGTCTCCTAGTTCTTTCCTCTATTTCCTTTTACTTTCCTCGTGTCCCACTATCATGCTCAGCCTTCATTTGGGTTTCAGTAATTTCTCTCGGTTACATTGCCCTTGCTGAATCCCTACCAGGCCTCTCACACCCTCCTTGCCACTAATTTCAGATCACTTGTTGCTCCCTTGTCCCTGGGTTGGTCAACACCACCTCCTTACCCCCTGCCTTCCCCTCTGTCATATCCCCCCGGAACCATTGGTCCCGTTGTTTTCTCCTCCAGTCTGTTCATCCAGCCTATCTTATCTAGATAGATCTGTAGAGATCATAATATGCACCAAAAAACAAGGCATACCAAGATAAGCGACGAATGAGAACACAGCGAGGACAACAAAAAAGAAAACCAATGACCCATAAAAGAATAAGTTAATTAAAAGAAAAAATTTAAAAAAGAAAGAAAAATCTGTAAATAGATCAAGGTCTGATTTTTGAAC